GACCAAAGCAGCCGGCCGCTAGAATTTTCCTCCAGACAGCAGTAGAATTGAACCTGGCACTTCAGCTAATGTCGAAATCCTGGCAGCGTCGGGACTCAAATCCTAGAACCTCCCTTTCATATGCCCTGAGCCGTATAAACGGGTCCCAATGTTTAGACATTTCATCAAATTATCTCCAATAGAGAGGAAATGTTCAAATCCATGACGGATTAAAAATTGGCCCAAGATGTGTTTGCAAATAAAATTTTAAAACAGTAAAACATCGTGCTGCATCAAAGGATTTTATTTCTGAAATAGTCTTCGCGCCCACCACCAACAGGATCGGCAGATGGAGAACCGGGTGCACTCCTGCCCCTGAGACGTTCGCCATACGTCCTCTGTCTAAAAGTATCAAAGCGCTAAAATTATGGAGGGGTTTTGTACGTTTTTACTCAATGACGAAGTAGCACTTCTCGGAGCCCAACGTCCCTTTTCGATCAATTTTGTACCGAAATTCCACACTGCGTGTCCCATTCGATTTCAAGGATATTCTCGAACCTCTGAGGCATTTACCTCCATTTAAACCTCGGAGCACCCCCAATCGTAGGTGTCGCGTGTCTTTCAAAAGCAGAACGTTTTCTGGAAGACGCCCGAGAAATGACTGTGGAGATAGCTGCGGTATGAAGGACAACGCTGTGGTAGGTCTTCCCTGATGTTGCCTTCTAATGTCCCCGAGCGAAGGCCGGAAAGGATGGCTTTTGTAAGCCGGCAAATCAACACATTGTTCGGCCAGGAAACATTTTCCTGCCACTCAGCTCGGGAATATATTTATTTGCCGTAACAAAAATTAGTGGGCCTACAGAATGGCCCAGATTTTCTCGTACTGTTTTGTTTCCTTATCGCTTTAGTCTGTGCTATCTTTTTGGTTTTGCCCGTCCTTTTCTCAAGTACCATCTATTGACGCCTAAAAGATATCTTTCACGTTTTCTCAATTGTTTCCTTATCCCGAAGAGTAGAATTGAAATATAATTTTAAAACTATTCCAGAACGGTAACACCTAGTCCTTTGTGAAAATTTTCAGTGAAAAAATTGGAGCCGTTTTTAAGAATATTTCGTGTGAGCGTATTTGAAAATGCGCAATTTGAAGCTCATTTTCACCAAAAACTTTCTAAATTGCAAACACAAATGCGATAATCTATATGAAATGCCCGTAATATAAATATTGACAATGTGAGAGATATTTAAACAAATTACATTTACATTTCAGAATTGTTTGAAAAACGTAGTATACATCAATGTAGCATTTATGTCAAGTTATTCAGTGTTTTTAACACTGCCTGTACAAAAAATATAAAGAAATAACTTGGAGCTGTTTTCCAGAAACGGCGTTTGAGCGTTTCTGATGATGTGCAATTGTTATCTCGCTTTCCGATGAAAACGTGAATTTTCGAGATACTTCGTAAGAAATTAGTTGAATCTCTTGTACTTCAATATGCCAAAAAGTATAAATTAGTGGTACTACAGAATAGCACAAACTGTCTCGCACTTGACAGTTTTCTAATCTATTTAATATGTGCTAGGTTATCGGTTTTGCTCCACCCTCTTCCCAGTTGTTACCTACCGATGCCAAACGACAAGTTTTACGATACGAAAATGTCGTACGAAATGACCATACGATATTTTTTTCATATTTTCTGTATTTTCTAGTGGAATTGAAATATATCTATGAATATTACATAAGAGTAAAATATATTTGAAAGTATATTACCCCGTATGTATACGAGAAAGTAATATCTCCTTGTTTGAAAATCATCCTTTGCGATGCTTTTTTTGTCATATAGTCAGTGACGGTGACTTTGTGGCATTCGCTGTATTTCACAATGTCTATTTCACTCAGAATATATTATAAATAAACCAATCCAAGATATCTATAGCCATATAATTATCGACATTGCACACCGCTGTAATCACGTTGTTAATCTTTTTCTTGTTATTGTTGAAAGTGTGTGATAGCAATTTTAAGAATTTTGTGAAGAAATAAAATACAAGTTGACAGCACAAACTGCAAATGAAGAAATTACAAACATTTTGAAAGATTGGGCAATTAATATGTGAAGATTAGATGGTGATAAATACGTAAAATATACTATCAAAACTATTTAGAACATTACAGCCAAAATTGTACAGGAAAATTACTCTTAAGTTGTGTGTTCAATTCTTTCCAAATCGAGGACTCCCGCTCCAAATTCAGCTTCTACATCGTCAATTTCAACTACTTCCAAGGAATCCCAAGACCCTAAAGACTCAACTTCCGACAACTTTAATAATTGTGATTTAATAAATGTTCTTTTAAGTATCTTCCTTATAATTGTTTTTGAATGTTTTGTGATCATAAAATTAAAACGTAGTTGAAATCATTTTCTGCAACAGAATGTTTTTCATATTTTCCTTGGATATATGTTATTCTAGGGGGCTGTGATGTCGAAGCTGAATGAAAGTTTCACATATTTCGGTAGCAGTTTTGTGTTACATTTCTCTCTTTCGTAATTGCTGTGTTTTTAATTATCTATTCGTGTCATGTAATGAGTTAATAATAATTCGTGAAATACGTCACGCTAAATAACACTGGAAGTGCTGTGATATTACGTATCATAGAAGACACGCAATGAGACCGCTATGTTAGTCAAAATCTATAATGTATTCAATAAGTAAAGGATTCTCGATAATAATTAATATTTCAAGCTTTCTTACGTGTTTTCGATGAATATGTCTGAAACGTATGAGCAAACGAACTTTCACATTCTGCATCCTCTAAAGAAACAGATTTTTTGTCTAATAATCTCCAGTAATGTGGAACTGACGTTTTAAGAACATAAAAAATCTATGTTGAGTATAACATTGTACATATTTGTTTTATGTTTCTCATTTTCTCTCTTTATTAAGCCCAACTTTCTAACAGTTCTCTTGGATGAACGTATTTATTTCAATCGCCATTCTCGTTATCTGTACATAATAGTTACGTATGCGCTAAATCTAATTATTTAATAATGGAAAAGTTGTCAGCTTGACTCGATTTGTCTTTTCCTATTTCCCTCACATAATTTTCTCTCATAATTCCTATCATTGGAGAACATGTAGTATCATTCAACTGTTGTCATATTTCCCTTGCAACCATGATCCTCTCGATCTAGGTAAGTTATGCAGTGTATATCCAGCTTCGTATCGAAGGAAATAACAAGCAAAAACGTATCAGTAAAAAGTAATCATACTTGAAGACAGACACTAGTAAAAGCTGTTCTTTCATGGTTGGTTCAAATGCGTAGCGTGCTAAATGTTCAATTTTTAGCACTAGTTCTAAAAGTGAGACGATGCTCAATTGTTCAGGTAAATCTGTGATTGCAACAAAGAAAACAAAATAATTTCGTCAAACCGCAAGAGCTAACACTGATGTACAATTAATTGATGTGTATACTGGAATAAAAATAAAATGATAGCGTATGTGGTAAATTGATTTTATTTATCGTAGGATTGCGCCATTCGGTTTATCGGCCTCGTGTTACAACCATTCTTATTCGCAAAATAAAATGTCACCTACACAATTCTTATCAAAAATAACTATTCCTGATCAGGAAATTGAAAACTACAAAACAATAGAGTGCTGATTTGAATGAAAGCGTTAGTAGGGCGTGCAAGAATGCTCAAAAATATCCATTCCCATTCGCTGAAAAACCACCTCACTGTTAGTTAGTGTAGAGAATAAGGATGCCACATCGATGTCAATGATTTCCAAGCATCGATGTTTTTTATAATATCCATGATGGATTTAACATGGAGTTTTTAAGCCGACGTTTTTTAACATCTATGTTTTGTGCTCGACGTTTTTTCTGTGGTTCATATTTAATTTTTTCATGCAGAAGGTACCATCATAATAGAAACCGTAATGATTTTCTGGTATTCATTAATTGAACATTCTTTATATCAAAGCGATCAAGAGTGAGAACCAATCAAAATCGAGTTTTCATTTCTGATTAATGAAATCTGTATATTTTGTTAATAATCCGATCAGATGTGGAAGACAGGAGTGAAAGCGAAGGAGAAAGGAGATGGTAGGAAAAGGATTGCTCATACAACGTTTGTTCGATTAAATTTATTAATTTCAAGTTAGAGATGTATTAAAAATTAATCACTATATGAGGTTGAGCACTACAATATTTACTCAAATTTGGAAAAATTATATTTTTGTGACTGAGCAAGTTAGGTACAGAAGAGGCTTGGAAAGAAATTGTTTAAATCAGTGAAATGTTAATAAATACTACTAATTGTTTCAAAGAAACTAAAATTGCGTACGTAATTTTGAATTAACACTAAAAAAGCAAGAAAGGGGGGAATCTCGTCAGCATACAAGCAAAAACACATTTACTCAAGAGTTCAAGCCTTAATAGTAACGGAAAAATAATGGTGAACGATTTTACATGTATATAATAATAATTAATAATAATAATAATAATAATAATAATAATAATAATAATAAAAACAACAATAACAACACCGAGTGAAGTGGCTCAGTGCGGGGCGCGCTGAATTCGCAATCATAAGGTCCCGCTTCTATCCCCGGGCCGGCCATTCTGACTGGATGGTTTTAGTCTCATGTCTCCTACAATTATCCTAGTCTATTCACTCCTCATTATCACCCTATCACTTCAATAATAATAATAATAATAATAATAATAATAATAATAGTAATAATAATAAAAGTGTTTTAATAGTCTATTCAGTTATTACATTAAGTAAAAAAAAATTGAGTAGTATTAAAACATCGATGTTTAGACATATAGATGGTTTGGGGTCAATGCTTTATTAACATGGATGTTGTGTCGGCGATGTCGCATCCCTAGAGAAGGGCTTTGTGTGGGAGCCGAGGAGTCTGCGCGCGGCGCCTGCGCGTGCTCGGCTTGACCTGGCTTGTCGCGCAGGGCGCAGGCCCCCACGCGCCCGCCGCGGCTACATAAGGCGTGTTGCAGGCGCGGCGCCCAGCGATGGCGACGGCGAGCCGCCCCTGAGGACCCGGCCTGCCGCCCGCGCCCCCGCCCCCGGCCACGCCCCCGGCCACGCCTCTCCGCTCTACTATGCGCATAGTCGCCCGGCCCAGCTGCGTCGCGGTGAGTACAGCCAGCAGCGACTCGCACCACAGCTACTCGGCGGATTGCATATTGCCAACAGAGCGATCTCGGGCACCAAGATGTTAGATGCACCGCAAATCAGGGATTAAATGGAAGTTTTTATTAAGGAAACATCAATTTTATATTCGCATATTACAAATGTTACTTTCACTTCTTTTCATCATTTACAGTAGGCACCATAATATTTGATAAACGTCTCCTGCAGTAAGGAATCTGTTTAATACTGGTTGAAGCCTCCTTCAGTGTTTGTCATTGCCTCGATTCCCCTTGGTTTAGTACAAAAGCAAACGTATAATGTCTCCTACATATGTTACCAGGATGGCTCAAGTAGCGTTAATATCACGACACAATAACCATGATTTCGAGGAACGATAAATTGTAATAATGAAGCATAAACGAAAATTTTATACTATATCGAAATTCTTTGGTCTTGAATTTTGAGAATCTGTCAGTGATTACGTAACGACACGTAATAACACCAGCTTTTCCAATGACGTAATCTACCCTTATTGCCACCAACTTGTGATGAATAAATTATTCAGCGTTATACCACGTAAAGGCATTTTTGGGGCCAAAAAAAATCACCTCGTTAAAAGAAACCACACAGTATAGGTATTGGACTGACAAATATCGAAAGTATAGTACTTAATCTAGAATTCTCTTCAAATTTCTCGTGAAAGATCACGCATGGCGCATGTGACAAGGTCAGAAAAGCGCGGCGAAGATTCCTCTTCCAAGGCCCAACTGCAAAGCAATTAGAAGAATAGCACAACATTGGTTTGCATTGAAGTTTACGCGTCATAAATCGAGGTGTACCTCAATACATGACTAGAGAGTAAATCTTCCTCTGGACAGCCTCTGGGCTGCCCAGGGCAGTTCCTCTGGGCAGCAAGGATATAGTTTCTGGCGCCGTTCCTCGACTTCCCGGACCGCGGTTGGGCTCGAGCTCTAACAAGATTTGTAGGAAAGATGCTAGTCTGTAGATGGTTGACAAGTGTGTAATTGTTGAGACAATTACTTATTTCAAGCCATTTGGTAGATAGTGCGTCATAAGGATAGTAAATAAAAATACTTTTCACAAGCTGGAAGGAAATAAACGATTTGGAATGGAATCTTGTAAGTTTATGCAGTTGTATATCACATCTGACAAGTGTTTGAAATGTAAAAATAAAAGTATTAACCGAAATGTTTAATTCATGATAATTTAGAACCGAGTAATATATGAAGATATGCTTAAATACCTCCCAACGAAAACAGATTTTTAAAAAAAATCTCAACTTGTTTCAGAGTTATCGTCTGCAGAGACGTACAAACAAACTAGAAAAAGGTTGAAATACGACCTTTGCCTACTTAATGTCCATTGCATATAACTCTGTGGCCCGTTTATCGCTCCATGCCATGTTTTGGCCTTCGCAGACCCCACACAGCGTCTACTCCACGCAATAAACTCGCAAGCATCCACAGTGTCTACACAGGAAGTTATTTTGAGGTTGCTGTACTGTCGTACCGGTTCGTTAATTTCATCGTAGATATTTACCGTTCACTACTGTTCTTTATTGAATGGAGGAATAGTTATTCATGTCATTGATTTATATTTGATTTATATTATTGAAAAAGTAGAACATCAACACATTTTTAGATAAATACTGTTTCATGACGTATCCTGCAATACGCTCTGGATTTCAAAGTTTGTGAAACAAACAGCAAGTATCGATCTCGTTTTTTTGACACTTCACATCTAAAAACCCTACACTTTTTCCGTTAGAGAAAACTTCTACACGGTTTAATAAAATTATTTTTCGCTGTCATAATAAATAATTTTCTGGTGTTAGTTACAAAAGCTTTTGGAAGTTAGAAACGAACACGAAATAAAAGTGGGGAAGGAAGATCTTGACTCATTCTCTTGGCTCCCCTGCTTTTCTGCTGACGCTCTTACGAAAACGATACTATAATTTGCGTTTATAATTATTCACATCGGATGAACAAATGTGTTGTCCGTAATATTGGAGCGCAATTTCAAATATTCTCAATAACATAAGAGAATTACTATTTTGAAGGTCTAGTAGAAGAACATTAACGAAAACTATATAGAGTACACACCTTTCTTGTTTTGATTTTTTACTATCCTTCTTCCATTTATACAAGCGTTCGGAATGGAAATACATCATAAAAGACCATTAGAATATTTGACAATGTCGCAATTAGATTCAGAAGATTTTTTTGGCATTCATGGGTTGAAAGAATTACATAGTTGATTAAAAATTGATGCATGTACTTATCTAAACGAGGGGTAAGAGCCACTCAAAAAAATCCACTTTTTTGTTGGGTGATCAGTTTCTGGCTATATCTTTAGGCAATTTCAAATGCAAAGTAAATTCATTTTTCTTTTGCAGTCTAAAATAATCCGTTAAATGAAGTAACAAAATCCTTCACATCGAGTTTTTATTTGTTTCGCAACTGGTTTTGTAACGCGAAAAGTTCTTTGTTTATCTAGTCTTGTTCATAATATTTTTATGCTGGAAGTTAACCCGCCGAACTTCTCCCGGAAGAAATTTCTCGTTACGGCTCTGGTCCGTGGGGGCAGTGGGAGTTTCCTGTATATGTGTTAGCTTCTTTCTCTTAGACCCTGATGTTATCAACAGGTTCCATGCGTGCTCTGCACCACGCTCGCTCTGTTGGCAGTTTTGCAGTGCCGCTCTATCGCTCCGCAGTCGCAATCTAGCGGCCCCAAAAACACTATTTTGAGATGTTACAAGGCGTTGGGGTAAAATAAATAGCCAATTGTGTGTTTGAAGAAATTAAATTATAAAAAGTAACAATAATAAATTATAAAAAGTAACAATAATAATGCATGATATTTATTCCTAACTAATATTGTAAACTATTTCGTATTTAATTTGAAAATATGTTCAATTTTTTATTCAATGCTATTTGACTGCATATGTATGAGTGAAGACAAACGGAGAAAGTTCGTGATTCTAGAAATGGAAGATTTATGTTAGTAGAAAAACAGGTATAATAAATTGATGGTGCTACAAGAACAATTACGTTCTCGCGTCACTAACGGGTACTAACATTACAACACCGTAATTTTGTCTATATTAACACATCTCAGACACCAGTTGTAAAACGCATTATCATTCGTAGCGAGAAAATTTAATTCTTATAAAGCTAATACATCAACAAAACCGACACTTCAAAACTCTTTTCCATACACCCTGAAATATCGCCCAAGAATGAAAAGTAATTCAGAGAATTTCTCACTACCATGTCGCGGTTCTATCAAAAGAAGTACGCAAGTATACTCATATTTTACAAAATGTAATAATGATAATTTTAAAGAACTGATTTTTAGAACAGATTTTATTTAAAAAATTGGAGCCGTTCCTTCGAGTTTTTAATTGCTTATATTTCTCGCAAAATTACGCGAAAACTAGTCATTGAAAAATTGTACATGACCTTGTTTGAAATTCAGTCCTTTAGAGATTTCATTTAAAAAAATATTTATTCAATATTACAGTTGTAGGAACACGCAGCAAAAAATTGAACTTTTGCAATTTAAGAAAAATCAAGAATTTGAACGAAAATGATACTCGTGCCATTTTGTAAGAATTCTGTACGCTATTCGAGTATAAAGTTTAGTAATGATCGCTTTTTCCCCGCAGCAATACAAGTACACTATATTCTCTAATCTGCGTAAGCAGTTTGTGAGAAAATAAAAAGGAATGGAGGTTGCTGTAATTTCGTGTTTAAAAAGCAAATATAGTACAATATTTGCTTCACTCCCAGTAAGAGTTGTTTTCTTTCTTTCTTTCAGAATTCCACTAAGAATATATATATTAACTCTTTTTTAATGCACATGCCGTAATGTGAATTTCTGCCTAAGTTCTGTTATATATTAGAATTGACACTATTTATATGTAAGAAAGCAATTCATCGACGATCAAAACTATTCATAGAAACGAGGAAGATGGAGAACAGTGTATTTTTTTATTTTAGCTTTAAATAAAATTGCGTTATTTACCTCTTTCTTATATCGAACGTCTCGTGTCACAAGTTAATATTAATATAATTATATTGTTATACTACTAATTATTATTCTTGCTACTGTATTGTGATAAATAACTAAATGTCATGTTTTCTATTCTGCGAGCCGGAATGGAATAAAAAACCTGAGTGTCTGTGGTGCGAGCGGAGGCATGTGGGTGTGTTGCAGGTGCTCTGCCTGGTGGCCAGTGTGCTTCTGCGGGCCGCCACCTCCAGTGCCTGGCAGATCGGCGACAGCGCCGGCGACAGGTCAGTGAATGCGCGATTCCCTCCCCCTCGGCAAGCAGAACGGCCGCGTGTATATTCACAGAACTGCCGGTCCGGTCTCATTCGCTCTCACAGTGCTAGAAAACTCCCTGGTACTACCAGCTTTGTCCTAGGAAGTGTCAAAACCATTTGCAATGCAATTTTTATTATTGTCATTTACGCTTAGTAATTAAATTACGTATTTTCAAATCAAGTATTTTGCTGTATTGCTTCCGGTGTAGTTAATGTATTGCCGCAAAACAATTGTTTTATGAGTTTACAGTTAATATATTTCCTTAGGATCAGTCAGAGTTAAACATTTGTTCTGGTTGAGGTAAGAGGAAGAACATCTAGAAGAAATATTTCTATCCCAAATTTGAGGAACATTTTTGTAGAGATACGTGCGTTCCAATGGAAAGTGTGTATGTACGATTCTTTTACCATTTCTGTCTAATTGTTATAAAAAAACCTATTTTCGTGTGGGATATCTTACAAATGTTCTTTCGATAGCAATTTGAGTGTGGAAATACTCGAAGTAATTTACACGTTGTAGTGAAATATTATATGCTGGGCATGCCCTTAGCAAAATGTTTCGTCTGTGGCAGATACTAGGTTAAAAGAACGGTGACTGCTGGCAGCATTCAACCTGCAGTACAGCAGTGTGTTGCGGGTTGCGTGACCAAGTCTTTGTAAGGCGCTGCGCTGCCCCTCAAAACGCTTGCAAGCGTCAAGTGTTCAGAAGAACAGAAAACGTATTGCAAGATATTTTATTTCATCCCAATATTGCAAATAATTGACGTATGTGACTTCCAGTACAGGAAACTAAATTATATTTTAAAAATATTTCCTCACTGAAAAATAATGAAGTCTTATAATACAGTACAATTTAGCTTTCTACACAAAGTAATATGTCGATATAAAAAGTTTCTTCCTTAAGAATTTCTAAGGATACGTGAAAAATATTTCAAAATTGTATTTTTAATGAATGGTAAATTTAAACATGGCCGAATACATGGTTCCTTTAAATAAAGAATAGTTTTTGTTATTAATTTTATAACTGAATGAGACCACTTGTTATGTTGCTGGTGTTTTATTATCAAATGCATTTCTTGAATAGGTCTTCTTCCTGTGATACAACCAGAGCAAAAACTAACGCACGCCAGGAAATTCTCTCCACGTCTTTTCGAATCAAAGTCTCCCGCTGCCTCACCTTTCGCTCTCTGATTTTTCTGCCGTGGGCGGCGCTAGTGTCGCACGCGTGCCGTAACCTCGCCCCTCCTCTCCCGACCCGTCTGTACTATCCTACGCTGCCTGGTGCCGGTGATACCAACATAATTTCTTTGGCGAGCACTCTCACCTTCATGGTGACACTACGGAGAGACTTTCCTGGCACACTGATCCTAGTGTTTGCAATGAACTGGTTCAATACCGAAGAGTGTTTGCAGCATACTTACAGTCGCAAATGCTAAATGGGTCGCTTCAATTCGAAGCTTGAGTAGGTCGCCAAGAGACGTAAATGAGCAGGGCTCGGATTCTGATGACATGTCATCTCTTCATTGGTGCGTTCTACATGCAGCTAACTTGTAAAAGAATGTTTATCACAACATACAGGTGATAGAAATGTATAGTTATTGGGTAATTTTTGGTCATGTTGTGCTAACTTTCAATTTTTAGATCATTTTCTATAGCTTCGCGTCATTTTTGTCATTTTACGCATTTTGTTTCCTTTTCATGTTTTGTTTGTGATTTTTTTTTCGAATTTACAATGGCACACGAAAACGAAGTTTTTATAGTATCACGAGATCATGACGAAATTCATTACTGCAATGGACTCTGTTTTTCGAGATCTCAAAATAATACAAATCTTAGGTAACTTCCTCGAAACTGACAGTTAAAAGATTGGAGCTAAGGATTACATTTCTTCCTAAAATAAAGTCTTTATATTAAATATAATTTTATATGAATACATTTTATTAAAATTGTAAAATTCATTAAATAAATAATCATTTTCCTACACATTTTTAATGTTAGAAAATATCATTTTCCTCTTATTTTTAAGTTATTTTATAGGTATTTTTTAAAGAATTTTTAGGTCATCAGAATCCGAGCCCTGTTAATAAGGAATGAAAGATGCAAATTCACATTTGTATTCATAATTAAGGGCTAAATAAATGCAAACCACATGTCACCTGTGATTGGCGTAGGTAGCAGATTGCCTCCGTGTTTTAAAATAAAATGAGAGCAAGGATATTCTGAGCGAAAAACAGTTGACGAGCATTCGCCTTTCACGTAGTCTCGTGGAGGTGGTTGTCGAAGAAGGTGGGCACGGGAAAGCTTCTGCCTTCCACTGTCCGCGTGAGGCAAAGTACCTTCAACGCCAAACGTCGCCACGTGGAAGGCGAACGCTCTGTGTCAAGGGAATCTGAACGCCAACCCCCCGTCGATAGCCGTGTGAGTGAGTGCGCGCGCGCGCGTGTGTGGGCAGGACGCTGGCCGCCGCCGCCGCCGAGTGGGACCTGCGGCGCCTGAGCGGGCGCGAGCTGCAGACGCTGCTACGCAACGCCAGCGGCGAGTCGGGCGCCGCCGAGTGCTGCCCGTCGCGCATGGACATGGTGATGCCCGGCGGAGGCATCCGCGTCGACGGGCTCTACGTGGAGCTGTTCCAGCTGCAGGAGCAGTCCTTCTACGAGGTGTCGTGCCTGGACAGCGTGCGCGACAAGCCATGCCGCTTCATCGACCGCCGGCTGCAGGCGCAGTCGCGCTGCGTGCAGAAGTACTCGTACTCGTACGCGCTGGTGCGCGAGGAGCCGCCGCGCCACAGCGCGCCGCGCGCGCATGCGCACCCGCACCGAAAACGACTCGTGGCGCATGGAACACATCCGCGGTGCGCAGCGGCTGCGCCTGCGAGATCGTGCCGACAAAGGCGCAGAAGAAGCGGCAGGCGGGCCAAGAAGGGCAGCGCGGCGGGCGGTGCGGCGGCGGCGCGCGCTGCGGCGCGGGCGGCGCGGCGGCGGGGGCGGGCGCCGACGACCCGCCACGGCCCGCGCCCGCCCCGCCCCCGACGCCCCCTAGCCTGCCCCGCGGCCGCATGCGCTGACCGCGGCGCACGGCCCCCCCGCGCCCCACCGCCCTCCCGCGTCCTCTGTTATCATATAGTTGTAACGTTTTGATGTAAATAAATTCAACTCAAACAAGTCGCTGGCGCCGTGGAGCTGTGCATTCCACGCTGTTCTGTTGCTCTGGGGACGTTCACACACACCACGAATGAAACGGACGTCATTTAGGCAAATGGTTCAGCTGTAGTGCTGTAATCATCACGTTTTTATACGAACCACTACGCATTTGTGTTTCTTTTTTCCTATGAGATGCAAAAAGAAATGATTATGCTGATCTACCATAGTGCTAGGTACTGACTTCCAAACGCGAACTGAGCAAGACAGTTTCGATGGAATGCACAGAACTACTTCATGTATGTTGTTTCCTTATTTTTCTTAATTTTTCCAAGTCCTAATTATTTATCCTCTTTACATTTCCTTGATTAAATAGTGATTTATCAAATTGTTTTTGTTGTTCCGTCCTCTAGGTTGGATTACTCAATACTGCAATAGTTATTTATTTAAAAAGTGCGTGAAGGAGATGAAAAGAAAACGAATAAATGATTTGTGCTAATTTTATGATTGTTTCTGTAACCAAAACCAAATACGTGTTGCATACAGTATTCTTTGTGCGAACTGTGTAGTTACATCAAATTAAGACAAAATAGATTTACAGTTAAAAAACGTCGTCCGATCACATTGTCTTTGAAACATAATGTAGTCTTAGTTCTTATAGAAAGCGTAGAACGATATAACAGACCTGGAATTTCAGGTTTATGAAAACTTCTTTTTTTAATGTATTCGAAATGTATAGTTAGTGTTTTCGTAACTGAGCTCACATTCGATGATGTCGTCGTAGGCTACCGCGGTCAAAGCCATAATCTGGGCTGTCCGAGTGACGTCGCGTCGAAGGCTGAGGAGCCGACTATTCGACCATCATACAGTGTTCTTCTTCAAGGCTGTAGTGTAAAACACTTACCTATGATAATACCACGAGGTATTCGAAAATTGTCGATAAATCCCCGACTGGCGAAGCGAAGGTGGGATTTATCTGAGAATTTCCAAAGCACGAATTGTACTTAATAGTACTATTCCACGAATGAAATTACGTCCAACAGAGTTTCAAAACGCGCCAAATATTGAAAATAACTGAAAGCATTTTAAAATCAAAGCGGTTATATAATAGTACGTACGCGGTTTATTGCACGACAATACAGTGATCGATACATACCGTCTACTAAAATAGATGAGTCGTATCGTATTATTGCCCAATAGGGAGAAGTGGTAAGAAAAATCGGATAGAAAAGGCGATACAAATTTTTAGATGAACCGTCCTGATTGAGTCATTTTAAATGTACAGTTAAACACTATTGGTTTTAATTTCACGAGTGAAATAGTCGGTATAAAGGGGCCACAAACCGTTTATTCTGACTACAAAAAAGTGTTAGAGAACTAACTACTACATATACTAGTAAGGTGATAAAGTAAAAAGATATAGCACTTAAAACTTCTGGCTTTAGTTATGACTAGGAGACCTATTTTAATGAAATGTCATGTTTTATTATAAGACAGATTTATTGGTAAAGAACCAATTCCAAACGAAAAGTTTGCAAACTGAGTTCATTTAAACGAAAGGAATAAGCCTCGATTACATCAGCAGTATATTCCACAGCTTGAGTTGTCATTTGAACTGGTTTAAATAAGATTTTTAGGGAATTTTAAAAACATTTCAAGAGCACTTTTTGATCATTTTTTGCCGATGTTTTAGGTCAACATAATCCGTACCCAGTTATAGCTCGTTTGTTTCGACTGTTCTTAACAGACGTTGGTCATTAAGAGAGCCTCTTTGCCATTAAGTCGATATATAAGTTCAGAATTGCGAAAAAGTATATGCACTCATTTGATTATGACACTAGAGCTACTAATTGTAAACCAAGTCTAAACTAAGTTTCATAGGAAATGAAGGAACGAGATTTATTTGCAGCATGAACAGCTTAGAATCGAAGAGACAGAATATTGTGGGACAACGAAAGGTAAGTTAGTCATCTATCTGGCCGACATTCATCAGTAAGTCTGTATGGACACAGTGTTAGGATCATGATAGTCATATTTGCCTGTCTCTGAATGTCTCATTTGAATTTTAGACATCTCGTATTGCACTTTCTTCTGGAATGGAATCAGGCAAATTCTTCAGTTTTTATTTGAGAGGAGATATGTCGTTGTCAAGAATCGCGTGATTACTCCAGATTTTTATGGACTTGGAAAGCATAAATACATCAGGGATACATACGATCAGAATTCGGGTCTAGTCACAATCGTATGATCAAACTATGTGTGTGGAGGGACATGAAGTGTGTCTGTCATATCGTGTGATCAACATTTTAACTCTGTGTCGTAAAAGTCCCCCAACAGCAGAGGTACCTGTGTTTGACAGCTACCGGCAACTTTGCGTCATTATGATAAGCGTAATGTTGCCCGAACTGGAATTTATTGAGATGCAAAAAATGGAGCGATGTTCAAACACTGGCAGGAGTTTAGGATTAGGGTAAGGCTGATGGCGTTTATTGGGTAGGTGTTTTAGTTGGGAAGTACTGGAGGTCCCCATCGCCTTACTACAGTCGCGATTCGTTGTCCAACTCTGTTGTTCGGGAGGGGGGGGGTTGAAGTTATTTAGGTTATTCTAAATGTAAAGATTAGGGACCAAGGATAAGGGTACTTATGGGAATGGAGCGATCGGCGAAGAATTGTGCTAGGGAGTCGGTTATTGGTTGTGGGTCAAGGAAGAAGTTGGGTGAAGTCAAGAGAGGAGGTATGGTGGTCGGGTTCTCTCCCACAGCCTTCATTACTTCGTGGACTGTGTTTATGTTGCATTTGCGTTAATTAAACTGTATTCGCGCGTCTCGTAGTGTGTAGGTAATGTCTGCATTCTACGTTGGGTCTATTTAAATTGTGTTTTGTATTTGTATGTGTGTATTTTTAATAATGTCTTCGTATTCGAGGAGCAAACATTCAGATGTGACATGTCCATTTGGCAAAAGTTGGGTTTTTCAGTCGTTTTTACCTAGACTTTTATTTCCAGAAAAAAGTAAAATGTCTTACATTAGATTAAGTATTTGCTGAGTTTAAGACTCTTGAAAAGTATAAAATTTGTGGTGTATTTTTCATTTTTATTGGAAAAGAGTCAAGTGGACGTGTGGTGTTTTGAATGTTTGCTCCTCATTTGTTTTAGTCTTCACGTAGTTACTACTTTGTCAGAAAGTAATGTGGTGTTTAGAGTAGGAGTTTTCAGTTGGTGTTTCGGTGTGGTGTATGAGAGGGTGAATGGATTTACTAGTACATTTTATGGAAGGGTTTTTGGAGCTAGTTTGTATTTTCTTGGAAATGAAGTGCTTGTAGGAATTCCAGTCGGTTTCTGGAACGGAAGGTGATTTATGTGTTAGGTACGTTTTGGAATGTGGTTCAGTCGATCAGTTCAGTCTTGAAGCAATTGGTGGGGGGAGGGGGAGGGGTTTCTTCTGGTTGATACCGCAACGCACGATCCATGAATAAATGGTAAGGAGGCGGGATGTAGAACCCCCTAAAGGAGTGAGGATCTACTACTTAGATGCCAGTGTTGATGATTTTAATAAGGGAGTCCTCTGGATCGCGGAGGATGTCTATTAGGGGATTAAAATAGATGTTTTACTGTTGGTTGGATGATTGTAGTAGGAAGATGAGTTCTTTGTCTTGTACTGGAGCATTGGATTGTTGAATTTACTGGGAAGTGTGTAAAGCTGAGGACATGAATTTGCGTAGGATAAGGTTTGGGGACGGAAAGTTGGGAAAGATTATGAATTAAATCTTCGGGGTTGAATGGAGTGGTCTATGAATTTGATTTTGTCTCAGGCGTCTGGCTTGTAGTATAGAGGGACAAGAAGTGTCATAGGCAGGGTGGTTTGGCGGCAATTATTTCATTTTGGCGTTAAGTTGGGATACTGAGAGTATAGAAGTAGGCAGGACTCAGAGGGGTGACATCCAATGATCGGTGAATGAATATGACGGTGGATCGTCAGCAGTACGTTTTGCGTGAAGTTTCTGGCTGTTTCGTCATTGAAGTCGTCAGTCAAAGCCGTCAGTCGTATTGTACTTTTCCGTGCATATCTTATAGTAGACAATGTAAAGTAAGTTAGCTTTTGGCGTGGCGACGTCTTTCCGTGGGATTTCAATCGTGTACCTTCCTAGAAATTGTAAATTTGTACGTCGTCTCGTTGTTTAATTTTTCCTATGTAAAAGTGTGTAATGTTTTGTTTGGTCACTGAGTCTTTTATGTTGTTCGGGTCGTCGGTTCGATTACAGTCCTTTAATAAGAAGTCTTATCTTAGGCCTCCTCTGTCGCCCGGTAAAAGTGTCATGAAACGTGCGTAAAGCAGAGAGTCTTTAAGTTGTGGATCAGTACGTATTTAGTCAAATAGTTCTCTTATTGTGAACCGTGATAGTCTCTAGTTGTATACGTAATTCATTCCTGGCTCATTTTGCCGTCATTTGTTTGCCTGTGGTCTTCATGAGATCTTTGTTCGGTTTGTTTGCGCTGAATAGAGGCCAGGTCTATTTTAAATAATCCCATTTTTGTGGTTGGTACATTTGATTGAGAGTGGGGTTTACTCTGGGTTCTTACGATGTCTGTTGATAATTGTTGTTAGGATGATTGAATTTTAGTCTTTGTTAGCTAGCGGGGAAAATCTGTTTTAGAGAGGAATGGATGGAGGAGAGTGTGCTGTTGATGTCTTTCAGTATTTTTTGTAAGGGTTGGTGTCGAAGGTTGAAAGGGATTCTGACCCCTACCACGAGTGAGGGAGTAGTTCCTGCATCCTGAGACAGTCTTAAAGGTTGCCTTCAATGGCAGCTAGCTTACCAAGTATGCATCCGTAGCGGTGGAGTCCATTTCGTCTTCCGAATCGCCTCCATTTTGTTTGGTCGTGGGAGGTCGCGCCTCTTGCGGGGTGCTCGCTCGTTGGAGGCGAGC